TGTGGAGAATTGCACGACGAGGTCGTAGACCGAGTCGTGTAATCACACGAGTACTGTAATTATGCTCTAGCCCACGTGTGATATACAGCATTTTATCTACGACTGCTAAAAATTACTAAAAAATCAGTTTCTTTAAAGAAGTCTATTTGACATTTATAAAAATATTTTGAAATGATTGTTGACAATTTTGAATTGTCAGTTTCAACAACATGTTTACTCATCTGGAATAAGTGTTTCGAAATGTAAAAACGTAACAATTAATGTTTATAATAAATAGTATTGTTTCTCTGTAAGTAGATAACACTTTTTCTTTTGTATTGTTGCTCGTTTTAATAAATTAAGTCTGTTCTGATTAGGCTAAAAATGCGTTACGTAATGAAACCAGTGCGGTAATGAACTTCATTACGTAACTCAAATCACCTCAAATGAGTGCGGTAATGATGACTTACCCAAGCAGTCGTGGATAAAATAAATTAAACAACCATGTGTTTTTAATCCATGTTTAAATAACTTCGTTATTTTAAACGCTACAGTTATTATTACACTTTTTAATTGTACATCAAAAAATATATTGAACTCTGAGTATTTTTCATGTAGCTGTTTGCGAAAAAATAGCAGTTACAAAATACTGTTACTATTTTATTTGCAATAATAGAGTAAACTACGCTATTATCTGTTTCTGTGTTAATTTGTGACAAATGTTTAATAATGTAATGATAACCATAAATTATGTTTTAACCCATAAGCAAATTTAGTATTTTAACCCTTTGTCTACCAGCGGTACTTAAAAATGTTGCAAAATATACATACGTTCAGCTAATCAAAGCTAACGTGATTATTAGAATTTAAGTGGGACTTAAAAGTACCGCTGGATGATAAATGACGTTTTATAAAATTTAATTCTGGTACGGAAGGGGTTAACATACTGTTTTAAAATTTTTTTTAACCTCTTTATCACGTCTTAAACACGTCCTCACTGTGTTTTACAATTTCAACAGGGCTGGATTAACCAGTAGGCGCTTGAGGCGCGCGCATCAGGCCCTGCACCTACAGGGGCCCGGTTCTGGTTTGATGTTGCATAGGCATATAATATACATATTTGCGGATCTTCCTGTGGTGGTTGGTAACATAACTAGGCAGAATACTATTAATGAAATACTGAAAACTGTATGAAACCTGAGGCTTGGCAACACCGTTATTCCGTTTTCTAATACTGTCAAAAATCTTGGTGTGGTAATGGATTCGGCTATGTCTTGGCGGCCACAAGTTCAGGGAGAGTGTAAGAAGGTTTACTTCCGTTTTCATACTTTGAAAAAACTTCGCTGCTGCCTACCTCCTGTTTGTACGTCGTAATCTTTGTTATTCTCTCATTTTCCCACACATTGATTATGCCGATGCTGCGTATCCCGAGTTGTCCGCAGCCCTTCGGGGTAAATTGGAAAGACTTCAGAACAATTGTATACGGTACATTTTTGATTTAAGAAAGTTTCAGCACATTACTCCATATCGTAACAACCTGCAGATGATGACTTGCTAGAGTCGTAGATCATTTCGCATGCTTATTATGTTGTACAAAATTGTCCATACCCGCACTCCTGCTTTAAATTTGTCCGATGCCTTTCACTTTTTAGCATCACATGACCTGCCCACTCGATCAATGTCGGACTCTACACTCATGTTTCCAGTCCATAGTACTGAAATCTACCACAGATCTTTTATACTGCAGTCGATTGCGTTGTGGAACGATTTGCCTGCTGTTGTTCGCAATCCAGCTAGGTTTGTTTTCTTCTTTAGTCTGCCTTTCATCTATCTTTTACTGCACTTTTTTTGTGTCTATTTCCTTCCTTGTAGTAACTGACTGTCGATCCGTTACATAACTCAAATATGCTCATTCGCTCAGTCCTATTAGTACATCATTTAGTATTACTTTTTTGGTAGCCATAATTATTTATTTAAAATTACATATACACTGTTACCAGTTGGGTCTCTTGGAAGATATCGCTTATTGCGATAAATTGATCCGTTTGCTTTGATGTCTATATTTGTTATGAATGTATATATTTATGTAAATACTTGTTTTTGAGACAATAAACATTATTATTATACATAATGCTTAAATGGTAATATTAGACTTTTCTGGGGCCCAAAAATCGGCCCTGAATTTCAATATTAGTTGCAATTGACGATAAAAAATTATTTCTTTCTTCATCATTTTCAAAGCAGAGAAGGCTTATAAGCTCTTCAGATAAATCTGTATTATTCCTTGATTTCTTGCTATGAAATGATATTATAATTGGGTCTGAAGATATTGATAGTCTGTTTAAAATCTCTCTATTATTGTGTATTCTTGACATTTTTCTGGAAAAGTTCTCTCTATACCTTCTAAGGTCTTTATTCCGAGTTTCTTGCACATCTTCTGAAAGCAAGTCAATCTGGATGCACAAAAATTGTATGCACTGCCATAGGCATATAATACCAATTATATAATTGATTGTATAATAGAATTGTGTCGTTTGTATAACGTTTAAATGCAGCAGTGTTCAATTCTTGATAATAATTTTTGTGAAATAGGCATCTGGTTTGGCATTTTAACACGTCATTGATTTTCTTTTTTATTACTGTGTAGGATAGCTATTTTTTAACTAAAAAAATACTTCGGACTTGTTTGGGAAGAAGGTTACAACATGATATCTGAATTGTGCCTCTTTTTAAAGACGCACGGTTAAGCCCGAAAGCTTCTAGTCCTAGATCTAATAATAGAGTTAGTACTAATATTAATTCATAAAAAATAGTTACTCTGAAAAATTGTAAACGATTGATAGTTTCAAAACTAACTTTCAGTATTCACTGTCGAATATCCGTAGACACCACCCTGTATATTAGCCATTTTATTGAAAATGCGCAATTTATTTGTTTAGGAACGGAAAGTATAGGCTTGAAACTACATAAAAAGACAAATTTCAACCTGGGATCGCGTGGGACTTTTTTTGTAGTTTAAATTAAAGTTTAACATTGCAAATAAAATCTGTTTATGAACAGTGTTGAGAAAAAGATAAATAAATTCAAGAAGCTATTACAGTGTTACATAAACAACACATACAGTATAAAATTATAGCGAAATTTCATAAGGGATTGTAAATTTTTAATATGTTTACAATCGTTTCTCAATATTAATCAAATATTTTTAAAAATTGATATGCAAAATAAGTGTTAACTTTACATGTCATTTTTATCCAGAGTTGAAGTTAATAAAAAGTGGTTATTGCGGAGTAGCGAGTATTACGATATAACTTAACGATCCCCATTTGCCAAAATATTAAAAAAGAAAATTAGTAAAATCATGTTATGGCCGGTAATTTCAAACTTGCTAACACTGTGGGGTGTGGCGCTTGGACCCAGGACAAGTGTGAATTGAGACACTGGAGATCTTGCATTACGCGATCTCCTACTCTATTTACCATACACCCCTTGTAACAATTCGATTAGATTAGATCAAAAGATTTGTTATCAATCAACAATTACAAAATTGTATTTTGTTTTATCTGAAACGATACACTAAATATTAAATTGAACTTCAATTTAAGTGAACCGGATTGCATGTTTTTTAATCGAAAAACATGATTATGGCATAATTATTATTTTTCAATAGAACATTTTTCAAATATTTGTACCGAAATACGATATTGAAGTTAAAACGTGTAAATTAAAAAAAAACTATATTATGTTACAATTCTACCTATAACGTAAAACTTACTTCATAGCTACTCAACTACTAATTTAAGAATTTTAATAGGTATCATAAAGAACCCTCGACTTTTATTGGATGTGGAAATAACAAGTTTGTCGTTAAAATATAATTAATTTCTAAATAAATACTTTCCTTGACTTGAACGATTATTTTTACTCCTTGTTTATGTTATGTATGTTCGTCATATTTCTATTCACATAAGTGATTGTAAAATCCATCAAAATTAAAAATAGCGCTGTTATAAAAGTGCTTTAAAATTTTCCAACAGAAGAAGGTTTCAACAGGAAAAATAAAAAACAAAACAAATATACTGGTATTTCTCTTTAAGTAATGTTATCAGATCTAGTTTTACAATTTCCTATTAAATTCTTGAAGGTAATTAGCTTTCGATTTTCACCTTCAATTTGAACACTAATTTCCGTTCAACGCGGTGAAAAACAAAATTATCTCTAATGTATTTTAACGATTAACTCTATATTATAAAAACATTTTGAGGTCGCCGATAAATATTGTTAGTATTTCGGGTGTCTTCCTTAAGAAATTCGTTACGACCAATGCGTGAAAAGGTGCGCTATTATAAACGAGCTTTGCTCGAGCAATTAAAATCTCGTATCCGGTTATTTCCGGAACGTAAACGTGTCCGACGGGGCTACAAATAGCCCGGCGGTTAGTCGTCCATTCTAAAATCGGAAGCCAATTAAAGGGGAACATCGTAAATATTTATGTTGCGCTCCGAGCGCGTCGTTCTCTCTTCTCTTATCGATGCTTCGGCGCGCTATGCAAACTCGCAAATGCCACTGGCGGTTTTCGGTTTAAATGTGTGTCGATATCGCGGAGACCTCCGGTCCAGATAAATAAACAATCGGTAAAAATAGAGCTCTTTTATAAAGCGGGGTTAAATCGAAACGCGACGAGAAAATCGCTTAATCTCCTCTCTTCCTTTTGGGTCGCCATTTGTTGATTAATTGCGTTGCAACACGTTGTTTATCGATTCGGAGCCCCTGAGTCGGTATTTATATGGAAAGCTACTCGGAGAGGGCAGATGAGACGACCTTTACGTGACCCGCCTTGATAACCGCCTGACCTCGCAGACCTTCGTTGACTCTAGAACAAGAAAAAGTGCTTTGTCTCATTGATTATGGATTATCGATGAAATATTTTGATTAACTTGTATTTTTAACAAATAACCTGCCCCTATTTTTAGATACATTTTACTTACATAATACATTCACATCATTTTCATTTATTACAGATGATAACCGATTCAAGCAGCGTTCTTATTGATCGCGAAGACGAGCCTGCAGCGCTAGACCTCACTCACAGTTCAAGTACCCGCAGTTCCCCATTATCCTCATCCATCCAAGTGTATCATAGCCAAAACTCCAATTCTTCAACCGGTACGGATATCCTAGATCTAAGTATGCCTGATAAAAATTCTACAACCGAAGTCTGTTACGCCTGTGGAGACGAGTTTAAAAAAGGGAGTCTGGTTTACATATCAGCAAAACAAGCAAAACTCAACTCAGCGGAACCGTTCTATCCCAGCCTTATGCTACATCCCCGACCACCGCGATCCAGCCCTATGGACCAACAATGTAAAGTACAAGCTTGCATCGAATGCCAGGAACATCTACTACAACAATGGCACGCGTTTCAAGCAAAAGGAACACCGCACGCTGATCGAAACTACACTTTAAGAAAACGTCAAGCGCCCGCGATTGATACGACGACGTTCGTATGTTATATTTGCAGCTTAGAGTATCCATCGCGTAGCTTAAGGCTTCTTTATTGCTGCGAAAATCCGGATAATGAGCCGTATATACCTTACATTCAAACGTTGAAAGCGCCTCAAGGAGCCAGCCCGGTCAGTCCACAAGGTATGGTCCAAGTCTGCTCCATTTGCTATAAATCGGTGCCGCAGAAACACAAAGTTTACGGTGGAGATGGTAGCGGAATGTTGAGTAATCACATTACTATGGGCGATGCAAATCAGTACCACAATAGTAATTCTAGACCGGCCGTTGTTAAGTCTCCAGCTAACAGTTCTGGGTCTGATATACGGTATAAACCTTATGAAACGAGTAAATCGATTACTGTTAGTAAGAAGAAACAAGCTGCTAATGAATTAAGGCAAATGGCAAAGGTAAGAATTTTTAGTAACTTTTTATTTTAATGATATAATTCTCATGGGAGTTAGGATAACCTCATACTAAACCTATACTTCTTTACTGACATTGATTTTAATTGCCTGTTGTGTAAAAAATTAATCAAAAATGACTTGGATATTAATATGGGTTAGTGTGTAGAAAGAGAGCTCTTTCACTTTTGCTCTCAGAAAATTTGCTGCGAAGACGTCGGTTGAGATTATTTCTTATATCACAAACAATATTTCGGGCGGCCGACGACTTTGAAGTCGAGTTTTTTTCTTCCATAAATTTCAAGCAGGTTAGAGAAAAAATCTCAGTCGACTTCAAAGACATCAGTCGCTCTAAGTATCGTGAACAATACTTAGGCCGGCTGAGATTATTTCTTATATCAGGAACAATACTTGGGGCGGCTGATGTCTAAGAAGCAAATAAAGGCAAGAAACCAAATTTCTAACAACTTAGTTAAAACGACCAAAATTAATCAATTTTTCATGATAAAACACTTGGTATTCGGATATTGCTACAAAAAAAAAACGTTTACAACAAAAGTTGTAGCAAATTTTATTCTTAACAATATTGCCCTTTAAAATTTTTAATAAAAATTAAAATTTTGCTCTCAGATGCATAAATATCGAGAACAGTACGAAAATATGAAAATTAGATGAATCCATGCTGTTGATAGTAAGGCTCGTAATAAAATTGGACACTTTCCATTTAAAATTTTGGATGTGTTCGCTGTATGGAACACATTTGCTCGTTTACTCACAAAGTTTAATAATGCTCGTTTATTAGAAAATATTAAATGTGCAACAACTTTCCTTTTAAAACATTTTGTCATGTCTCCAACAGTAGTCGAGATATCTGCTGTGACAGCAAACACACTGTATATTATAACATTTTCTGATAGAGCTAAAAAATACGAATCCAATGATACCTCGCAATCAAATATTGGTTGATTAGTCTTTATGATATTAAGTAATAAAAATTCGGGAAAATGCGGCAAGACTGCGTACCGATAACTACACCATGCCGTTTAACTATTTACTTGGTTGTCCTACGAAAAATCTAAGAGGCGGAGACTCATTTAAAAGATGCGTGCGCCGCATGTCTTTATGCCTACCGATCTTTGTATATGTATAATATACAGGTGTCTCAGCGAGGCCGTTCATTAGACGTTTATGTGATTCTGGCCAAAATAAACATTTGATAAATCAGATTTAGGTATAATCAATTGCGTTCTCTTAGAATAAAATATTTTCAGATTTCTATCACTTCCGGTTATACCGGAAGTCGTCACCTACTTTATTTTATTTTTTTTTAATAGAATACCCTGTATATTGTTACATATTTGGATTTGTCAATTTTCAAGGTTTATGAATAACATACGTTTTTTCAAAAGCTTAAGAATACTCAATTTTTGGGATATCAATTTAGAATTCAGAACATGCTTAGGCAACATGATGGAGTATGTTTTGGTGCCGAAAACGGCTGTTTAAATCGTTTGGTCACTTTACTATGATACGTTAACTTTTCGAAATTTGGAAGTACCATAACTTAATTTTTTTAAATGGCAACTCCCATATTTTATTACTTGGTCGTCTTCAGCGTCTCATTTTACATTTTTTATACTCTATATGTGCTATACCTAACATTAATAGTTTGGGAGATAAATAGCTAGTATGCCATGGGAAACAACACTCAAATCTCAAAGTCTGATTTACGTTGTTTGATGCTTGTGAGTCTGAAATCAGTTAAAATGGATGTTTGGAGTCATGGAATGGTTATACAAATGAAAAAATTCTTAATTTAATTTTTATGCACGGAAAGTGCGGCAAAGTTCCTAGTAGAACTTACAGAATGTTTAATTAAAACTATCTACATTTACTTCCGATGACAAAAGGTAAAGTTAAAAGACTAGAAGCAAATTTTTAGCATTTTGGATGAATTAATCACGTGTTAAACCGAGCAAAAAATGTAGTAGATAATGAAGCGAACGCCTCAATTCGAGCTGCTAAAAAAGATCTGGGACTACGAACTTTGTCGCGCTTTTCATGTATAAAATATAAATTAATATTTTCTTGATATGTGTAAATATTATTTTCGTTATTGTTATCGATTTTAACTCTTTTTAGTACAAATATTATGGCACCCTTCGCTAAGACACCTGTATAGTGTTCAAATCAACAAAAGAGCCATATAATTTGGCAGATAGTATTTAAGTAATTTGCGTGGTACAATTATATATTTTTAGTGTTGCTTTGGTGTGGACGTCTGCATGTCTCTATACAGGGTGTTTCGGTGACTCGGGGAACAAATTTAACCACATATACTAGAGTGAAAATGACGACGATTCATGTAAAAAAAATTAGTAAAAGTCTTCAAATTTCAAAGATACAGGCCATCAAAGTTAGGAAATTTTAGCACATTTTTCCAAATATCTTAAACACTATTTACAGTAGAATGCTGAAATTTGGTACAGTATAATTCAATGTAATGTAAAATCGTTAGGCAATTTATGATTTTGATCCCTACATTTATTTTTGCAGTTTCTAATAGTAAATTTAGTTTAGAACCTTTTACTCTTAGATAATATTGATAAAAATCATCGTTTTCGTGTTAAATGCAAACATGTTGGGTTCCAACAAGAGGTGAGTAAACAAACTTTATGAACAGCCTGTATAGCATTGTTCCCACGTGCCGATCCAACTCAAAAATTGCCTAATGATTTTACGTGATGTTAGTTTACGCTGTACCAAATTTCAACGCTTTACCATAAATAGTGTTTAAGATATTTAGAAAAATGTGTTAAAATTGCCTAACTTTGATGGCCTGTATCTTTGCAATTTGAGGACTTTTACTATTTTTTTTACATTTGTTCCCTGAGTCATCGAAACATCCTGTATAGTCTTGCAAAGTGTTCTTTCCATTCTTCTGTCGATATGCTATTAATCAGAACGTGTTCATTCATATCTCTTTTCTGAATTTGAATCATCTTCCAAGTTTTCTTTGCATCTCACACAAATCTGATTCCATATTTTTCGTGAACCCAGTATCTTTCTTTAATTTTCTTTATTTCGGTATTTACTTTGTTCCGAACTCTTACACATCTCTCTCTCTTTTATCTTTTGCCAGTTCGACCACCAATGTATATCAGGATGTGCTTGTTTCCACTTCATCGTCTTCTTCTATCTCGAGTTGAGGCGTGTTGTCGCAGTCTCTCCTGATACAGATTTTTTACACTTTCCTCTGCTATGCTCTCCATCTTGATGGATGAACATTTCCTGTGATTTCGATTTCCATGACATCTCATTCCAAGTGTCAAATCTTAACAACCAATCTTATTCCTTGTGATAGTCGTCTTATTATGATCCATCCGATTCCGGGGCTTGTCCGTTGTCCTTTGAGCATGTTAATCATCAAGCTTTGCGTGAATAACGACCAGAATATCAAAAAAGGTTGACATCACATACAGCAAAACTGTTCAAGGAAGTTGAGACGTTTATGCGGCTTATTCACCAAATTTGATTCTAGGCAGACTAGTCTTCTATGCTGTGACCCCTTGTCTTCAGTACTGCAAAAGATAGCTAAACGCAACTCTGTACCAGTAATAGATGAGAATCTCAAACTGGGAAAATGAAAATTCACATATACTGATTTTACCAATGATGATTTGAGTTTGCTTAATTTCACATTATCTCTGCCTTCGTTTAACTAAATATTTTTAGTTTTTATTCTGCAATATTGATCAACACATCTGTTTGTTTCTTCATTCCTTTTGTAAAATTTCATAATGATAACCATTAAATCCTATAATGAAGAAATTGAATTAATCAAAAAATTTTTGCTGTGCATTAGTTCTTAAAAAGATCAAGAGTTTATCGTGAATCGCTGAACACGTGACAAATAATATTTGACTTACTAGCAAAATACGATAATTGTTTTAGAAATTAGCCAACCAAAGTGCTAAAGGTCGTCACAACATCTCTTACACATCGGTGAATTTGATGAATTCAAGCTAATACGTAAACAGTGTTGAAGTAAAATCAAAGTAGTTCTATCCAGTTTAGTTTCTCTATCGCGGTGACGCGTCGCGTTTTATTTAAAAGAATCATAACTATTGATATTATTATTGTACTTACATTTTATGTAATATAAAGTTGATTCAAACATTATTTTATAACTTACATAAAACTCACAATGTCAATATAGAATTGGTTTATTATTACTCCAGTTATATTAATCATTCATACTCGTTAATTATAAACTGTATAGCATCTTGAAAATACTTGGACGCGCTAATGATGTTGACTTTGCATAATTTAAATTACCCCGTTTTTAGTGGCACCTTATTAAACCGAAATTGATTAGATTTTTTATAATGTTTTGCCTTGAACCTCTACTCTTCTAGATCGTTCGAAAAGCGTTTGTTGTATTAATCACTTGTAATCCAAAAAAACTGTCACTGTCCGAAATTTCACAACCATACGATAAGTGACCGTGAATCAAGCGAGTGCGGATCAATCTGGTTAGAACGTTGTCGGCGCTCAACTGCAATCAAATTAACCGGCTAAAAAAATTTAAATCAGCTGCGATGGTTCCAGTATCAACCGGATTTTGGAGTTAGTTTTAAATGGACTCTCAATTGAATCGTATCAATTGAATTTATTACTCCGCGTATGCGGCGCATTTTGTTTTCGTGTTTTTTTATAAGAATTATTTTAGATCTTTTTTGTGACTGTGAATTGCAGTTAATATACGGAAATGAAAATGAAATTGAAGAGGCGGAAAACCGGAAAGGTAATTTTACAAATTTGTAAAAACATAAAAATTTTGTAAAATGAGAAGATACATGCGATCTTTTAATAAACGTTTGATAGACCTTGGGTTTATATAAGTGTATTTATCTCTTTTAACCTGATTCTGTTTAAACATCAATTTGTACCAAATGTGATAATAAATTGGAATGCTGCGATTAATGACAGGTTTGCTCTTTTCGCTGAGCCTATTTCTTTCTTTTTTTTTTAAGTATTATAATCTGATTGGAAATAATCTAAACTAGATATAGTATCTGTTTTATTTCATTGCGTGCAGACAGCGTCTAGTAAATGAGAAAAAAATTTGTAAATGAGGAAACCAAAATAATATTTTTATCACTCTTATCGGAGTTTAAAGTTAATTTTGGAAGTATTATTGTCCATGGCAACAATTTATCAGCTGACGAACGCTTTAATTATTTCGATTATTTAGTCAACTGTATAGATTTAATATCTATTTGATAAAAGCACACCTGATAGCAAGTGTACAACGTTGTATAAGATGTCTGCAGCTTGTTACACGATTGTCTCATCACCATCCATCAATAACGTTCTGACAAGGAACAGGATAATTGGTGGGCTAATTATCGAATTCCTGAAATTAATACTCTTCTTAATTAACGGATTGAAGCCACTAGAATATAGGGCATAGTAATTTCAGTTATCTTAATTAAATGTGGTTTTAAAGGAATCGATAACGAACGACTCTTCGTTTATTTACTACAGGAAGAAAAAATATTTATCTCTCTCTTCGCGTTGGTATTATTATCTTAAGATAAACTTTCACTTGACTTTAGCTATCAACAAGCCTCTTTAACCTGCCGAAAAATCATGTCTGCGAACTGACCCAGAGTTTATCTCGACCGATTTACATAATTAACTTAGTTTTTCTTTTCTTTGTTGTATGCTTTGTTATTTTGTTTGCAATAAATTATCTGAAAACAAAAAATTTATTTAATTATTTTTTAGGTTGGAAATTCGCGTTCCATATCACCAACCGGCGACATAAACGGTCAAGCAGGCGGTCAAAGTTACAGATGTTACATATGTTCCGGTTTATTTCCAAGGGCTCAAATGGAATGGCTTAGTACAAGTCCTGAAGGAATGAATTCTCATGCGATGCACTTTCCGTGCTTGCGAAACGTGGCTAGGACATCTGAGAACAGTTGTATGGACTCGCACGGAAGGGTTCTTAGCTGTACTCGATGTGTTAACCATTTGGCGCAACAATGGGATACACAAGAGGCCGAAAGAGTTCCTTTAGAACGAAGAAAGTAATAGACATATTTAAATACATTTTTTATTTTATTTATTTATAAATTTTATAAATTAATTTTATTTGGTGGTTTGTTTTAGATATGACATTCCTCTTCCCGACCCAGGAACTGTAAATGGTGATAGAGGCATTACTCCGCCAACGTCAGAACGTAGCATGGTGAGCAATCCAGGTGGAAGTAGTATTTACTGTTTCTTGTGTGGATTACATTCGGAATTTACATTGGCTAGAGTCGTGTATAGTACACCGCAAGGTAAAGTGATATTGTATAAAAGTTTTAATTGTTTATTTATTGTGGATATTTAGGTCGCAACGCTCCATATTTCCCATTCCTTCTCAAACACATAAGTCCTCCAAATGCCGAACAATTGCGTGAAGCTAATGGATCCGCTTTGGTGTGTACGTTTTGTTACCATAGTTTGGTGAGCCAATGGAGACGATATGAAGCAGCTCCAGATCCTCCAAATGCTGATAATAGGGAGTATAATTTCCATGATTACTGTTGTTATGTGTGTGGAATAACTACTTATCGAAAGAGAGTGAGAGCTTTGCTTATAAAGGTAATTAATAAGTTCAATGTTGCAAAATCAAAAATTAAAAATCGCTAATTTCTTAGGATTTTCCATTTTTACGCTTTCATCCTCAACCGGAGCTCTCATTATTACTGGAAAACGGGGATTATTCTGTCGTGTGTTTGGACTGTTATGAAACATTGCGTACCCAAAGCTTGGAATACGAACGGTGGGGACTCCCTTTGGATAAACGACAGTACAATTGGATAACTCAACCTCCACCACCTGAAGATAGTCCTGAGGCTACGTTTGCGAGACTTCCAAGTGGACAACGTAGCGATAAAGTAGTAAGTTAACTTAATATTAATAAAATATTTTTTAATATTTTTTTGTTACAGGTTCCACAAACTTTTGTAACCAGACCCGGTAGGAAAAACTGCTCTCCAAAGACTGCTGATAGAAGACCAACCATTACTAAAGCTGATACTGGTAAGCGTTTAAGAAATTCTTGTTAATTGATTCTATTTAATAATATAATTATATCAAAGGAATACTGAAAAATCTCAAATTTTATCCGTATTCAACTGAAATTCGGAATGTGGAACGCTAAAATTGTAAAAAATTAATTGAGATAATTAACTTAATATTTAATTTATAAATATGAAGTATAACAAAATACGAAAAAAAAATTCAAAAATTACATAAAACATTGCTCAATTTTCTATACTAATCGATTCATAAAGCAGATTAATTACAGAACATGCAGTTAGATCTAAGAAGAGACATCAATAAAAACCGCGCCTAACATATTAAAAAAAAACAATTCGGTTATGTTTTAACTATCCAGGAATACATTTTATTAGTTCCATCAGCATCCAGTTGCAATACAATTGGCGATTATGACTTTTGGTGTTGCTGCTTGAAACAATAGTGAGGTGCAAACAAACCATCAGGGAAGATCTTTTAGCTAGAATTCTGACATCTCCCTACAAATATTTCCCCTGTTGTTTGCTAGGTTCTTTATTTGTCCCACTTTTTTCCCTCTTTTTCTGGCAGCTCCCTTTATGTTGTTCTTTCAGGTTTTATGAGGTCTTCCTTCAACTCTCATCTTCATGACTATCATTGCTCTGTCTCCATCATAAGATTTTGACCAGTGGGAAGCCTTCTTATCTGACAAACAAAATAAGATATCGTTGTGATGCGCACAATCTGAATACGAGGTTCAGGGGTAGAATTTCTCCTCCTAAGTATAAGTTGTCACTATTTGGAAGATCATTCACGTACCAGAATTGTGTACTTTACAACGATTTGCCTGATGATCAAAAGAGATTATTTCTCAGAGCTTTTAAGTCTACCCTTGTCAGCTTGCTAATGAAAAATGAATAGTTTTTTTATTTTTAATTTCTTCTTTATTTGTATATGCTACCGTCAATCTGTATAATTCAGGTACTCTATACAATGCCTAGATAATGTATAAAATACCTGGGGTGTCTAGGCAATGTATGAAGTATTACGAAGATTAATGTCCCTTAGATACTTTACCTAGGTAATGTATACAATTCTTAGGGATTACATAGTGTACCTGTTGGTCAACCAGCAATGTGTAAAATAAATAGATTTTGGTCTGTATTTATCAATTTTTACTCATAATAAACTTTTTTATCTAGCTGTACCCTGCGCGCGATGCTACGCCACCAACTAAAATAAATTTGAAGGAAAGACATTACGCAAATATTCAATTCATTTTGAGTCATTTTATTGATTTTGTTCATTTTGAAAAAATTGTGACATTGCAGTGTTTCGTTTCAATTCGATGTTTATTGAAGTGCTGTGGGATACACAATATTTCTTGTTTTTCCATCTGGTGTGTAAACGAATAAATCAGAATTTTTTCCGACGCGTGAGCAGTAGTGGACTTATATGTTGCCGTTTCGCCGGGTATTCCATTCTGAATGGTGAAGTTGATGGTATTGACATCGATGTTTTTGGCCGCTAATATAACACGCGTACTGAGCCATTGATGATTTTTGTAGTTCTGTGCAATGTTTGAGAAAACTTTTTGCAAAAATTCATCTATGCTTTCTGTGATCTTATAGAAGTTTGCTGGCAAGGTGATACATTCCGTAGGTTCATCCCGTTGTAGTTGTACACGCATGTTGGTTTTCAAAGTCAATTTCTGTAAATGACGCCATAAAACTGATGATTTGAGACATGCATTAAGTTCATCAGCGGGTGTTGAACGTGGTATAACCGGCAGTGTTTGTCGAAAATCACCAGACAATAAAATGACTTTGCCCATTCCAGAGTTTTTGCTAATGTTGCATGTTGGCGCCTCAGTGTTTTGCAAATTCAACGGCAGTTTCAATGCTGAATGCGCTGTTCGGCCACCATCCAGATGATGCAATGGCCAGTGCAATATTATTTTGTGATCGTATGGTCGCCAAAATGAGTGAAAGAAGAAAAGTCTTGCCTGTACCACCGGGCGCATCTATAAAAAATAGTCCACCGCTTTGTTGGGTGATTGTACGCATAATTCTGTCATACGCAATGCGTTGTTCTGGAACCAACTGCGGAAGATTTGTCTGAACTAATGTCCTCAGTTCGTAAGAATCAATGTGTGTTTCTCGTTGCAAATCACGATCGAAAAGGTCGTTCGCTGGTCGGTTCGGAGCAGGCATTTCCAGTTGCACCAGTACCTTGTTAGCGATTGCCAAACATATGTCTTCAATTAAAATCAATGCCTCATTATACACGTTTGGTGTGAATTGAATGTCCGGATTTTGATTCGCAGCGCGCAAAAAAATCAGCATTCGAGAATTATCGAAAATTGGTCGTACTAACTTAGAAACCTTCGTGGGCTCATGCACAGCAACTTTGCTAAAGATCATCACATGATCAAATGCATAGTTTACCATTCTACAAAGGACATACAGACAAACATTCATTTTTATATATATAGATAAGTTATTGTACAAAAAAAGGCACCTGGTACTTTTCTATAACTATAGTAAAATCGCAATTAAATTACATTAAACTTAAAATATTTCTGAGTTAACTAACATAATGTCATTTGCTTATAAGTAATCAAGCAATAAGTATTAAAAACTTAAGAAACAAAATAATTCTGTAAAAACAAGATGTAGATCTACTGGCCTTTCGTTCTCGCCTTTTACACACATTGCCGGCTTCGCATTCGGTATTTTATAGAATACCTAGGTAAAGTATAAAATTAATAATATTTCATATATTACCTAAACGGTTTAGGTATTCTATAAATTGCCTAGGTATTGTATAGAATACCGGATTATACAGATTGCCGGTAACATATACATTACATTACATAGATTACATATCGGGTAGGCGGACCAACCAATCTTGCACCGCGACTCTAAGGATCTATTGTACCCCGATAGATAACGTTATTAAATTTCACCGTGCAGTCCAATGCTCTTAACGAACATTAATACCTTGCTTGGTGAAAAGTCATTCAGATCCTTGGGGAGATAAACTGCGACCCAAAAATCTAGAATCTGATGCGATTAATAGCAGGGCTCAACATACTTAACCATCTCCTCGTCCTCCGTACATAACCGGCATTCAACATCGTCGGCTAGACCCAACAAGTTGAAGTGTGCTTTTAATCGGCAGTGCCCAGTAAAGACACCCTTTTGAACTTTAATGCTGCTACGAGCAAGTCCTAAAATATTCCCGGGTTTGACAGTGGCAATGTTAATAAACACTTTAGCATGTCTCATTCCAGGAGAACTGGTCCATTTTAGGCAAAGTCTCTTTTCAGCCCACATTCCCATCTTATGTTAACGCTATCACAAATGATACACCAACTGCTGATTCTGGCCCCACAAACGCTTTAGCGTTACCCTCTCGTGCTAGCTCATTTGCCGCTTTATTGCCAGCAACCCAGATCAGAGAAACTCGGTTATCACAAACCAGTTTGTTTGTATTAACCAAAGCCGACACCATTTTCACGGCTTGTAGCGCCTGGAGAGCGGCTTGACTGTCTGAGAAAAATCGTACTGTCAAGTTCTTCACTTCTCCCTCAAGGAGGATTTTAGCAAATACTTCCGTCTGGAATACAGTACAGTACGTACCCAGGCTGTAATCTTGCTTAATCCGAAATGTCTGGCGGTATACTCCTGCAAATATCTGCCTGAACCAGAGAATTTTCGTTTTCGATCCAAGACTGCCGTTCAGGCAGTACAATCTGGTATCGAGCATTAGTCACTGATAGTGATCCCGCCAAATCTGACGGCATTGATAGCACAGTACCAGTGCTTATAATGTCTTTCGCAGCCGATTAGTAGGACATGTCGGAACAGTTTTGAACATATTGCTTAAGTAGAGGCCACAGAACATCCATTGCTAGAGTTGGCGTTGTGCTTATCGCACTTTATTTGTATATGGTGTGCCATCTTTTACCTTGACTATTCTCGTTTGCCGTGACAGTACTCGCTGTCTTGCGTTTTGCTTTTCTAATAAAATTTTCGTTAGTGGGTTGAGTGTGAGCAGGGGCCCGACATATTTTATTTATACATTGTAATTAAGTTTATTTAATTCAATAAAAGGCGTTATTATTATCTTTGGATATCTGTCGTTGCACATCCTTCTGAGGTGTCCGTGCCACGGAAGTTATTTTTTCTCTATTACTTGTATTATGAGGCCCTGCTCTAGTTCTGGTTTGATAGTTCTGTTTCTTATTTTATCATGTCTCGTTCTTCCTACCACCCGTCTTAGGGACTTCATTTCTAACGCAGTTACTTTTGCCTGATGTTGCTCTGTTTCTTTGATGGCATTTAACCCCTTAACCTACGATTTATTTCGAGAATTACGTACTAATCGTACTACTAGTTTAAGGGGTTAAGAGCTACATATCTTCGAAACCACTTCCACGTTGGTTATCCTTTCTGTCATTGCTATTTTCAAGATACGGCGTCCAGGAATATTTCAAAAACATTAATCTTTTTCTATGGGTTCAGCGTTCAGGTTTCTGATCCGTGTGCGAAGGCGAGGTGCTGTTATATATTGCTTCGATTTACGTTGATATGATATTAATTGTGGTCTTTTATTATTTTGGGACGTGGAGATCATCTACGTAGCACATCATTATTGATACCTGAGCCAACGGTCGCAGATATTTTAGGAATTGTGTTGATTTTTATTGAACGTAATATACCAAAGTATACAGGGTGATTCTCAACCTATACGCATAAACTTGGGGATTTATTCCTCACGACAAATAATGGCTAATAGGTGAAAAAAATTGTAGTAAAAGATTTGTGATTTCCTAGATATCCGATATATGCGGCGACATCTAGATAAGGTGTTTCCCGGAAGATGGACGACCGCCCGACCTCAATCCTCTTGTTTTTTTTGTTTTGGGATCACTTAAAAAGCATAGTGTACGTCACCGAAGTTAATACTGAGCAAAGATTGCGAAATCAGATACAAACTGCTGCCGAGACAATCCGCCA